TCGCCACCAATAATTTACACAAAATATTAGAAAAAGGAAATTGTTTTCGCAAATATTTCACTTTTACTAATATTTTAGCATATCTAATGTAAAGGCATGTGTATTATATGTAATTAAAATTTATAATAAATCATATATGTAAATAAATACTACATTTGAATATATAAACTATATCTAAAATTAGTATACATAAATATTTTTAAACATATAAATTATATTTTAGATTTATGATAAATAATTTTTATTATAACAAAAAAAAATATTTTTTTATTGATATTTATTTTAAAATATTGATATTTAATTTTATGAATAATTATGATAAATAAAAATTAAATTAAATAAAAAAAATTTAAAAAAAATTATAAATCCTCTCATTGAAAAAAAAAATCCTAAAAATGATAAAAGTTCATATTTAATATATAAATATTGATTTTTATTTTTTATTTAGATAAAATACATAAAGACACCAAGTACTTCGACAATACTTGTAATTTATAAAACAACAATATATTCAAGAGATGAGCGAGAAATACTAAAACCAGTACCAACAATTAACAATAATTGTCATTATAAAATGATATTTTTTACCGACTATTATATATTGGTACAAAATCTTTAGATTAAGGAATAAATTAGTGGCAATCAGATCATTTTTCGTTGTATGGATCCAATTAAATTTAATTGGGTCAAATAAAAAATAGAACAAATCCTATTCAAACCGATCAATAGAGTTAATGAATAAAAATAACATATTATAAAGGGATATCAAAACCTAAGTGTGTGGTTCAGTGGTAGGGGTTGATCCACGCTTAAGCAAGGTCAGGGGTTCGAATCCTGTCTTGTGTATGCAGCTGCGTTAAATTTTGGGGTCAGCTGTCGGCGGTAGGTACTCCAGGAACGAACGGGCGCCGCATTTGGAGCCGAGGAAGTGGAACCAGAGTAGCCTTGCTGAGTAGGTTGTGACGTGAGAAGATGGAATCCAGGCGGTGAAGGGTAGTAGCCAGAGGGAATAGACCCAAAGGATCCACCGATGGTGGGGGGCGGCCACGAAGGTTGACCAGAGAGGCCAAGCATGTTTGCGGTGCCAAACGGTGGAACAGTGCCAGTGCGAGGAGGATCCCAGAGCCAAAGCTAGGGTAGGGAGTAAGCATTGGAGTGAAGCGTTGATAACACGTGGAGGCTTCATGACCACGTGGATGACAGATTTGACATTGAACCGAACCCCCACGATTCCTGCCACCACGACGACCACGACCACCATCGCGGTTCTGATTAGGAAAATTCTGAAGCGTGTTAGGCTAAGTGTGAGCGAACTGAGATTGTTGAAAGGCAAAATTAGCGTTCTGAGTCACTTGAGGAACAGGGACAGGCTGGGCAAGATTGATTGTTACAGGTTCTTGGAGAGTGGTGATTTTGGTTTGATCAAGTCGAGCCTCTTGAGCAAGAATTACGTGCTCAAGTTCTGCAGGGGAAAATGTGTCATCCCTGCTAGCAAAGGCAGTGACAGTGGAGATGAGCGAGTCGTATTCGGGTGGCAAACCACCAATGATGCATTCAGCATGCTCACGAGGTGAAACAGGACTGCCAATCGAAGCCAGCATTTCAATAATGGTGCTAATGCGGAGTAAGTACTCGGAGCATGAACGTGTCCCTTTCTTGATGGTGCGGAGTTCAAGACGCAGTTGAGCAGCTTTAACCTTGGTGAGCGAGTGGAAATGTTGGAAAACAAGATCCCAAATCTGATAGGAGTGCCGACAGGAGACGACACGAGCTTGTATAGATTCAGAGAGGGTTGAAAGCAGCCAAGAAAAGAGTAGCGAATCCTTGCGGTCCCAAACAGTATACTCAGGATTGACATTGTTGGAGTCACGATCTTCAGCAGTCAGGAATTTGAGTGGAATTTTTGGATTAACCACGAAACGTTCGAGGTCATGAGCGCGGATCACAGCAGTGACCTGTTGTTGCCAGGTCATGAAATTTTTGTCATCCAATTTGCATGTAACAGATTGGGAAAAAGTGTGTGACGCGGAATGGTCAGAGGAAGCGGAAGCCATTGAATCAACGGAGGCAAGAGACGACAAGATGGAAGAAGTCACACGATGAAGAGAGTGTGAACGAATGACAGAAACAGGACCGAACGCGCAAGCAAGATCAGCGTCGAGGCGCGACGAAACAAAACGCGCGAGCAAGAACAGCAAGATCAGCGAAGCAAGATCAGCGACAAGGCGCGGCGAAAAACGCGCGAGCAACAACAGCGAGGAGATTTCGCGCAGCAACAGAGGCGCGAGCAATTAGCAGGATACGACGGAGAGGTGGGTTGAGAAACGGAACGAACCGTGCTCACGATGATACCATATGAGAAAAGGAATTGCAAGAGGATATCTGAGATTCAATATTTTGAATGAGAATTGAATTGATTGAAAAAGATAATACAAGAGAGGTATTATCTACATATATAAACCTAACGGACTTAACTAACTCAAGAGTTAGTTAGTCAACAACAGTAACTAACCTAAAAATAATAGCAAAATACAATCAGAAAATATATTTGGATACACGTAAATAAGACAGCAAATAAAAGTATTTATTATCCTATATTCTCTTCTCTAATAATCTTGTGCATGCCTAAAACCTATGTGGGCTGATAGCTTGCAATTGTCCCTTGAATGCCTGCTGGAAGTTCTGCTTCCACTGCATGCTCTCCTGCTACCTTTTCCAGCTGTGACACATGGAAAACCGGATAGATCATGGTCTGTCTTGTCTCTGTTCAGGAAGTTTTAATTTGAAAGTTGCAGTCCCAGTCCCCCACTTGTATTTTTATTGGTTTCTACCGAGCATTAGGTCTTGTGCTCTCCCCAAACAAAATTTGAGTTTTATGAATGATCCTTTGCAACAGCTTCTACCGAGACCTCTCCTGGTATAAACTTGGCCAAGGAAGGAGGTGGTCTGCCGTGAAAAAATCCCTAAAGGAGTGCAATGTGCAACACTTCGGAAACTGATATTGTACTAGTACTCCCAGAACAGAATTTTGGTTGTTTGGAACTAAAGCATCTGAGATAGGTCTCCAAGGTTTTGTTTAGTACCTCTGTTTGTCCATCTGGATCCAGGTGATAAGTGATACTCATGTTCAGCTTGGTTCTCTGGGATCTAATAAACTCCTGCCAAAAAGCACTAATGAAGGTAGGATCCCAGTCACTAACAATAGACCTTGGTATTCCATGGAGTTGTACAATTTCCCAAATAAACACCTCTGCTATGGACTGAGCTAAGAAAGGATGCTTCAACAAAATAAAATGCCAATATTTGTTCAACGGACCAACCACAACTAATATGACATTGAATCCCTTCAAACTTCGCAAACCCACAGTACAACCCATACTAATGCCTTCCTAAATAGCATTTGGAACAGGCAAGGGTTGGAATAATCCCTCTGGTTTGGAGGCTTGGTATTTGCTGCGTTGGCACAAATGACAAGCTGCTACAAACTGTGTTACAGTGCTTTTCATCCCTGTCCAGAAAAGAGACTGAGCCAGCCTTCGGTAAGTTCAACACACTCCCAAATGTCCTCCCATAGGTGAAGAGTGAAGCACTTGTAAAAACTTGGGAATCCATGTTGAAGTAGCAGCCAACACTAACCTTCCCTTGTAATATAGTCTCCCATGCTCCAAGGTGTATTGAGGATGAGAGTTAGGATCCAAGTTTAGCTCTTCAATTATCTTTGCCAACCCCGAGTAAGCCTTTACTTCCTCATCAATTTCTATGATATCTTGCCAATACAGTCTATAGATATCAGCTGCAACTCCTTGTCCTCTCTCTGTCTTGAGAGTGCATCAGCCACTCTAATTGAAGCCCCCATTTTATAAATAATATAGACAGAAGACTCCTGTTTATTGACAGAATGATCTTCTCCTTCCTCACAATGTGGCGTTTTTTTCAGGTTCAACATACACTCCATGATCGTTCCCATATTTTTGTCATGTTTCAATTCTCCCAATCGTATCTTCACTAGTCAACTTCTCTAGTTCCCCCACTCGATTCTCCTTCGTGATGCAGGACCCAGCAGGTCAGACCAAAACTGATAGGATCCTCCCCAAAATAAAAACACAATGCCGGCAAAGAAGAGGATGAAAGAAATCAAGAACTCAAAATGGAATTATTCAAGATTTGGAAAAGGAACTGAGTAGATAAGTGTACACCAAAGGAGCACTCTCCTTTCACACTGGTAAAAATCCAGTCGAAAGTAACAATTAGAAAAATATATCCCCACCTCTGCATTCAGAGGGGTATTTATAGCCAAAACTAAAAACTTGTGTTTTTACAACTAATCTGTCCTTTTATTTTTTTTCTCCTATAATAGACCCATAATGCCTGTTTCGGAACTGCATTCTCATGCCTAACACCTGTTATGAATGAAGAGGATAAAAAAGAAGCAACCATGGAAAATCAAAGAAAGATGAGAGTGGACAGCTGGCAAGAGGAGATTGGGGGCAGAGAATTGGAGAACCACAAGTGTAATGTTGAAAGAAATAATATAGGGGAGGGGATAGAACGTGATAGGGTATCTGAGAATTTTCAGTAGTGAAGGACTTTTCCCAGGGGGGATTGTGCACTGTTTCCTTGAGTTATTTTCTGGTTTTCTTTCCAGTTTGTTTTCTCTGTCATGGGACTGATATTTCTATAGGACAGTGAAAGGAGCTGAGCTCCACTCATCTAAGTTGAATATTGTCCACAATTTAGTTTCTATATATTTTATACCATAACTCCATCTAACAAAGAAAGAACACCATAAAAACATAAAAAAAGGGAATAAAAATGATATTAGTGATGGTCATATTTGTAAATAAATCTTCTTTCTTTTTCTGGAAAAATTCAATTGAGTTACCCATTCTTAATTATCTCTAACCATAAAGAATGGTGTAGAATTAGCAAGAGTAGGAGCACTATTATCCTTAAAATCTGGACAGATGAATATGTAAAGAATTAAAGAAACCAATGCTTACGGAACCACGCCAATCTGCACGAAGAACAGTTCCAAATGACCCTGAAAAACAGTTATCAATGTTTCATGACACATCTTCTCCAAGATAAATAGATTGCTTGGGCAAAATTGACATGCACAAGGATTCAAATATAAAACCTGTGCCAATGTTCTCCTTCAAAATAAGTTCACTCCATGGAATATCCAGATCCTCTTTGTCAAGATCAACTTCGTGACTTGGATAATCCATTACTGGCTGCTCTGCTTCATTGAAAGACTCATCTTCCTCTGCACCAGGAACTGCATAAGATGGAATATCAAATAAGGCAAATCCAATACCACTACAATAGAAACAGAGCATGCAGAGCTTATTTATTAAAAATATATTTGGTAAGCTATACATCACTCATTCCAATCATGTATGATATGCTCTTAGAGAAAGACACAGTTCCATTCTTTTCTACTTTTAATTTGGGATAGGAAAAATGGTTAGTTCTTACTCAAAGCAATCAGATGGTTGTTTCCACCAGCATAATTTGCACCCAAAGCATCAGTTTGTTGTAGATCCATTCTGTCACTATGATTAACAGCAGGTCCTGTCATGATGTAAATCAGTAATTTTAGAGGTGTATGACCACGCAGACAGGAACCATGTTTATCTCTTTATATTTCTCATACAACCCTTATATCCTAAAATTATTATTATATTATTTCTTCCCTGACCACAAAACAACAAAATATTATACACTATGTTGTAACAGTCTCACATTTGACCATATTTGTAATTAATGTAATTATTGTAAAATTGTTAGGGCAGATCATTAGTTGATGTAGATTTAGCCAGATTTTAGCAACGTAATAATTCAGTTTAGTCTGTATATAATTCTGTGTACAGTTTCATTCCTCAGAATAATATTCAGTCATGTCCTTTGTTAGGATCCTATTCTTATCTTTAGTTCTTAGGTCCTTTAAGCCCATTATATTAGTATTGATATATTTTATTCGTCTTTTAACAATACTAGGTAAATATAGATAATATTTTTTTTAGTAGATTGCAGAAGGGAATTTGTTAAGAATATGTTTTGAGTGTTTCTCATGTAAATATAGTGTATCTCTCTATCAAAAGTATGAATGAAAAATATCAATGTTAGTGTTTATTTTCTCTATAGTTTTCTTGTAACCATTTAATGGTAGATTTTAGGAGTAGTGATAGTATAGCTTTTAGAATCCTATCAAATGGTGCTTTCATAGTGCCTACTCCACCTCCCATGAATACTTACAGCCACCAATCCATCCTACTATGGTCAACACCACCACAACCATCGCTACTAATGTCATCACAACCATCACCCTACCTACCGACTCCACATCATCTTCCTTATTGGTCACAACCCCAACCCCACCCTTTGTACCACAATCACAAGCACCATCACCACCACCGTACCAACATTTATACTACCCTCCAGAAAACCCTTACACCCCTTATCAATCAAACCATTTTTTTGCAAACCCACTACACCTCCCAAACCCCAACCACCACATCATAGTACACAAACATTTTGAACCCTAACTATCTCCGCTCCCAAACTTCATATGCAGCACAGATTCATCCATTGCATTACACCTTCCAGCAACTAGAGCTGCAAATCGTGGAGAATAGGAAATTGGTGACACCACAAACAAACATATTTGCAACAACCAACAGAGAAGATACAGGCATTTGCAACCACTCCGGTAGAGAACTGTTAGGAACCAAGAATTAGGGAAGAGAAAGAAAAGAAAGATTTTATTGAATATGTTGAAAAGAACAAAAAATAGGAGAGAAATATCTCCTCAAAGGATTTCCCCTTCACAAAGGATTTCTCCTTTCACAAAGAGCTAATGCTCAATTTACAAATATGAACAAATCTCCCTCCTCCCCTCTACCAAGTAACCTCCTATTTATAGATGTGATGGGTCTAGTCCATGATATCTTTCTAACTAATAACTATTCTAATTCCCTTTATTCTATATCCTAACAATACCATCACCTTGAAAATCAACCTTGTCCTCAAGGTTGAAATCTGAAAACTGGAAAAAAAAAATGACATCAAAACACAAGGTAGTTGGGACTAAAGCGAAACAGCACCCCTAAAAAAACTACTTTTCCATAGGTTTGGGCAATTGGACCCACTTTGTAGAATTCCAAATCTACCCCTTCCTCTTTCTCATCCACCAGAGCCAAATCACTTACTCTAACAAAATGTGTCTCTTTGTTGTCTACCCATGATGGGTCAGCAGCAAACCGTTTGACCACTGCATACAAACCCATGTCTGGCGGCTTCAGTGGTAGTGGAGATAAGGGTGGACTTCGTATAACTTGAATCACAATAGCTGCCTTCTTACTTTCCTTTTGCCTAGGCTCCATTGTCTTGTTGTCATCCATAGATGCAACAATGTTTAATGATGAAGGCTTGCCTAGAAAATGGTCTTCCCCACCACACATAGTGTTTTTCTTGATTATTGAAACTTATTTATTTCTGTTTTCTAACTTCAAGAATTGCAATGGGTTACCAATACACCTTAGACAGCTACCCTTCATGTTAATTCTCTGTTCTATGCTTCCATCAAAGATAGGTAACTCCACTTCTTTTTCCCAAGAATGCACCAGGTCACCTCTGCAATCTGACTCACTGCCTTTGGTATTTTCTGCATTTTTCTTGAATCTGTCCAGAACTGGGTTGCTGGTGCCAATGTCTTTTGTCAAGTCCTGTTTTTGCAATAGGTGATCAAGATCCTCCTGAAACTTATCTTTTTCCCCAAGTTTTGTTGTGATCTCATTAACGAGTTTCTTGATCTCTGAAACCTCGTCGAGTCTCTTCTTAATCTCAGATTTTTCACCACCAGAATTCTTGATCTTCAAACTTTCTTTTCCCCTTTTCTTTTCTTTCTTCAAGAATCTTTTGATCAATGATGTGGAGAATGCCTCCCAATCAGAATCTGGGTTCTTTTGGCTCCAAAAGTAGAACCACCGCATTGTCACTCCTTCCATGCTCATGAAAGCATATTGCAACTTATGGAAAGAATGAATTTCTTGCCCTTCAAAGAATTTCTCAACCTTAGCAATCCACCCCAATGGGTCTATACCCACAAAGACTAGCAGCTTCCCCTTGGCCCAAATATGCACTTCATCCATCTCTAGTAACACTGGCTCTCCCTCGAAGATCCGGCAGATCTGACCAGCTGTTAGGAACCAAGAATTAGGAAAGGGAAAGAAAAGAAAGATTTTATTGAATAGGTTGAAAAGAAAAAAAAATAGGAGAGGGTTTCCCCTTCACAAAGGATTTCTCCTTTCACAAAGAGCTAATGCTCAATTTACAAATGTGAACAAATCACCCTCCTCCCCTCTACCAAGTAACCTCCTATTTATAGATGTGATGGGTCTAGTCCATCATATCTTTCTAACTAATAACTATTCTAGTTCTCTTTATTCTATATCCTAACAAGAACTCATTATCGATGATGACAGTGATAGCTTTGGTGAACAAAAACGTCTGCAATGCATGCTCAGATGAAGAAACAGTCACAAGGACTCTCATTGGAGGAGTTTCAACATTATTGTAAATGTAATTGTTGTCCTCTTCTACAAATGCTTTTGAGTTGTCTTCGTCTACCTCAACCTCGTCCATGTCGCTACATCCAACCTCTGTACACCGCCATGTTGCAGTTTTGTTCCAAAAGAACCACCGACATCGTCAAACTCAATTTCGCTCAGTTTCTCGTCTTCACCGAGGTCGAACTTCTCCTCACCACAACCTCTATGCTCAAGCTCATCCTATCAGAAGTCATGCTCCCTATTGTGCATTCGACATCATCATCATTGTGGTAAGGAGACACCTTCCCCACACCCTTCTCAATGAGTTAGTCACCCAGCTTTTCAAATTCCTCTGCATTTCTAAAATAATTGGTTGTGCAGTCCTCATTTCAGTGATCCCGGTTAAATTACTGTTGGAGTTCTATAATGGCCAATGATTTTTCTGCTATCTCAAATGAAGACAACAATGGAAATATCATTCCACCAACTCACCTACAAAGGACTTACCAAGTGGTAGTAGCTACCACTTAAGATTGGGGCATCAATAAGGATGAAAAAATTACCCTAGAGATTGCCTATTGATCTCAAAATTTTCAATTTGATAAGGGCAAGGCAGTATAGTTGGGATACAAAAGTAGTTCTATTACTTGCTGCTTTTGTTGTATGATATGGTGATATCTGGAAACTAATATAGCTATATCGTGGCAATAGTTTGACACCTTTAATTTCTAGTATAAAGATGTTACCCTGCAACTTAAAGCTGATGAAACTGCAACTCAAGGCATTGATCTTGTTGGTTAAGACCATGAGGATGAGGCTACGTGTATCATTAAGTTTGATAACTTGCCCCTTCAACATGTAGAGTGGGGAAATGATATATTCATTGTCACAAAATCTCAAATATTTAGAGCTGCATACTTGATCACAGGGAGCTATTTAGCATGTTTCACCACCAAGAAACATGAACAACTATTCAGATTCAAAAATAGTTGCCGCTTGGGAGTTTTCAAGTTGATTGTATAGATTAAGTGACATATGCAGCAAAATTAGAAAACAGATGGTTCTGTGTCACCAAGAAATAGAGAGAAACTTGTATGTGAAGCTGTTGAACCTTGCTTGCAAGGAGCAAATTGATAATTAGAAGATTCTTACTTTATTTTCTCCTTCCAAGAATTACTTGACATTGAATGACTGCTCAACAGAAGTAAAGGTTGGCGTATCTGAAATGATTCCACTGTTGATCTCAAAATGGCAGCTACTCAACCAGGTAGAATATTCTTATTGGTCTAGCAAACATGTGGTCATCCTCTGACTAAGAAGTTGAAGGAAAGTTATAATATTGTGTGGATTCCCCTTCCATCTACTGATATATGGACAGATGCAGCAGAGAGTAATTTTAATTTTCTGTCAGATTCCTTGCCTTGGCAGGATGTTTGGAAACCAAGGTTACTTAGCTCATCAACGGTGAAGTACATAAGGGAACAATGGAACTACAAGGGTGAGCCCATCATGGTAGCTTTCAATTCAATAGGGAAAGTTAGAAACTACAATGCTCTTGGTACGATCAAGATTTAGGGAGCCATAACATATCCATTTTCAACTTCAAAAGAGGAAGAGCTACTAGAATTTGACAATGCAAAACATGGTTTGAAGTCCTTCTACAACCTTGAGGACAAGGTTGCTTTGGATGGATGGAGTATTGTTAGGATCCTTTTCTTATCCTTAGTTCTTAGGTCCAATTAAGCCCATTATTATTAGTATTGACATTTTTTATTTGTTTTTTAACAATACTAGATAAAATATAGATGATATTTCTTTAGATGGGTTCTAGAAGGGAGTTTGTTAAGAATATGTTTTAAGTGTTTCTCATATAAATATAGTGTATCTCTCTATCAAAAGTATGAGTGAAAAATATCAATGTTAGTATTTATCTTCTCTATAACTTTCTTGTAACCCTTTAATGGTAGATTTTAGGAGTAGTAATACTAAAGCTTTTAGCATCCTATCATCCTTATCCTTTTTTATTCAAATTGATATTAGAGCTCCCAATCTACTAGATTCTGCTTCAACAAATCAACCCTCAACTGCCATTGTAACTATCATAGCAGCCACCTTTGTTACTGCAATGCTGCCTTATTTTTTGTTCTCTTGTGTGCTTAATGCACTCAATCGAATCCACCTCATGATCATCAATGAATTCTTATCCCCTAATTTTGATAAAGTATTGAACCTTATGATCCCATTCATTTTAAATTTTTAATGCGTGGGGACCTACATCCATCTGTTATTTCTAGCACCAAATAGCATGTTTCTTTTATTGATGACTTTACTTGCATGACATGACTATTTCTCATGAGAAATATATCTAAAGTACTCCAACCCTTTGTCCAGTAGGGGGAAGCAATCTTAACTGCCACTGAAAAACGATTAATCATACTCAATTTCATATTTCTAAGACTAATACAAGCCAAACTCAATAACAAAAGTTACAAGAATCAACACCATAATAATCCAAATGGTCTAATTCTATTTCCTTTTGTGCATGAACTAACTTTTAATATTTCCAGTAAAATCAAAGATAAAATACAGCTAAGGTTAGAAATTTCAGAGATATAACTATAAAAACACATGCCATCAAAACCAAGAAAGAGTGGTAATTTTCAGTGTAAAGGCAAATAAAAGGTTGCCTTATTTTTTTCTTAAGACTCTATTTCACGTGGTACTTATATTTTTTGAAGAAAAAAAAACACATCTAGAGTGACAAAGAAAACAACCTGATGTGGTATCAAATACAAGATGCAATGCTTGACTGTCCAAGAAATACAATTGAGCTAGTGTCTTTGTATATTCAGCTGTTTCAACCGGCTTGAACTTTGGATGACATAATGGTGAAGGGACCAACATTGAAGATGCAGAATTCAGTGAAGAATCAGGTTGGTAAGTTGCCCCAGGCCTCCCAACTAAATCAACCATATACTCCCTAAAATGATGTATACAATACTCCCATTTTAATTGAGCTTGTTTTTGTTTTTCTAACAAAACCATGTCATACACATTTTTCATGTAACAAAAAGTTAAAAAAGGTAAAACAATTAAACACATTGATGAAAATGTTCCCTCCAGTTCTGAACTGATATAATATATATATATATATGATGATGAATATTAGTTTCAGATCCCTAACAAATATTCATAAATCCAACCTTCTATTGCATAGCTTGTAGATAAGTTCAATCCCTCCACTTGAAAATGTTGATAAATATAATACTAGACTTTTGGTGGAAAATATTACGAGATTATGGTTAAATTTTCTCTGTGTGTCTCCAATTTTCAGAAAATTTATTAACTGTGAGGCAGTACGAGAGCTACAAAAGCTATAAAAAATAGACCAACAACTATTTGTAACCTTAGCTTTACAGACCTATACTTTTTTGTAAAGAATAAATTCACTGAAACAAAGAGAAAGAATTTCAAAGAACAAGGAGGATAAGGAATCCTTATAAACAAAGAACAATACATAATACAAACATGAAAGAGAGAAAATCAAAGAGCAAAGGAAAGAAACTATAGAAGTTCTAACAGATGTTTGTCAAATATATTTTCAAATTTCAAGGTGTCATAAAATTCTTTTATTGAATAAAAAAGTAAAGATATATCTTGGAGCATTTTCTTTTTCATGAAAATATATCAAAAGTAAATATTATCCGCCCTTATGGGTTAATTATAAGTCAAAATCTTTACTAAATTATTTTTAATTTATGTTTATAATTTTTTATAAAATAACAAACTAAGCATACATTTAAATGTATTTTTTATAATTAATATTTGAATATATTAATTTTATAAGGCCTACCTATGAAAATTACTATTTGATAATTTATGAACTTTAATATTTTTTTCTGATAAAGTGTTAGGTTTTATTTATTATTCATTTGTAAAATTAATTGAACATATATACATACATACACCTACACGCACATTATTGATCACACACTAAGTCATTTTCCAGTTGTTGGCAATCCATATTATGTTCAGAAAAAAGAACTTTAAAGTTCAAACATTACCAAAGAAATTTTCTTCAAACAGTACCTTCACAAATTCATCTCTAATCATTCTGTTATTTTCTTATTCACAGCTAGGGAAAGCATTCTCATCATCAACTATCCCAAAAACACACATATATTAGAAAAGGCAACATTAAGCACTTCACATGATAGAAAAAAAAAAAGTGTAATGCTACATGTATAACAAAAATTGTCAACAACTTGTAAAACATCACTTGTATGTCTATCTCTCTCCATATTTACTTAACAAAGATACTTTGGAACACCATCTTCACTTTTCTATTACTTTCACCCATAAAATATTGCAAATAATTCCTAAACTATTCATACTCAAACTTTCTATTTACTTTTATTTAATTAACTAATGCAACAAACCTGTCAGAACCAAATTGCACTATACATGAAGCACCCACATCCTCCCTACAATACTTGCAGCCCTTAGCAATACGGCATGGTAAATTGATTAAGTCAGCTAACACCTGAAATTTAAATTGTTATAGGGTATTCAAATGTAACATGAAACCAAACTTCAGTACTATGCAAAATAAAAATATTATGAGTTAGAAACTCCATGTTGTCTGCATCACTATGAAACAGTGAAGAGAATAAAATGAAGAACTAGAAGATAAATTTTAAGCATCTCAGACTCAGTGATATTAATGTAAAATAATGTAACCAGAAAATTATCAGAATATGAATAAATCATTAAATAAAGAATAATACTTTAAACAGCAATGCTCGATGGACACAAAGGCCGATGGGTAAGCTTCCAAGAGGAAGAATGACAGAATGCAGACAGCTTTTAAGAAGTTGGGTGCATTCCTTCCAGCGTGTACCTAAATTTTCCTCAGTTAAAGATCCTCCCCTTTAGAAAACAATAAAAGCTCATCAGGAAGATGTCAATGCATTTGTGACTTTCCAAAAGAATTTTATCTTTTCTTCAAAAATTGAAGACAGGTAACTAACCCCATCCTACTGCAAACAAGATTTGCAAGCTGGTCAGTTGCATCTCTCGTTGTGATCCAGTTATTTGAAAGACTTACTACCCTACTTTGCAGTTCTCTTAAACCAGGATCTCTAGATTTATCGATAGCAACCACTACGATCGATGAGTCATCACTAGGTTCAACTGACATCAGTGATTCAAATGATGGAATCATACCAACATTCTGCAGATCAGTACTTATAGACCATGTATATGCATCCATCCCATGGATTAGGTAAAAGCCATCAAGAATTTTGTCAGTGTATTGCAAACAACCATTTACCTGCCCAATATGAAAGCAGAAGAATAGTCAACATATTTTCAGTCAGAGGAGCAGTTAAAAATTTGCACAAGTGACAATTCGAGTTCTATGGATTAAGCATTCAATTTATAGGCACATGGATGATTCCAAAATCCAAAATTACTTGTTTTACACTATCAATACAAGTTACTTGTTACTGTGAAGCATATTACACTCCTCAACTAATGAAGTACAAGCTGAATCACTACATCCTATATATCTTACACCATAATGTATTCAGAGAGACAGAGTATTTGATTCACAAATAAGTGTTATACATTTATCATTTTAACTTATTCCTTCTGTTTGAGAACTTTACCAAATTCGTGGATTAAATTTGTCATGAAATGGAAAAATCCAAGGATTAAGTATCCATTTACATTAAATAGAAATAATTTTGATTAATTGATCCTAAACCATTTGACCCAAATTAATCTGAGTCTAAAGAGTGAGAGCTGAATTATATCAATACATGTTAGTCATTATCAAAGACAAAGATTTTGCATATTTATGAATTATGATGCCCATTGACTCCATGGTTAAGAGGTAATTTTGTGCAGATTTTTGGGTAGTTAGGTTAGAATGGTTATATATAGATTTAGATTAACTACGCTTTTGACAAAACATAATAATTAATAACAATAATAATTTCTTATCCACTAGAAAACACAATAATTAACAACGATAATAATTTATTACCTGCTGGAACCGACCTATTAGTGGGAAGAGTTTGATAGATTGTTTGAGATTATAGGTTTCTAACATATACAGTTTTGTACACCAAAATAATACTAATAATTTTCGTTTCTCTCTTTGCAATCTCTCTTCTTATTCATCTCCATATTCTGATATTTCAAAATTTACTTTAATAATAATAATAATAAGAATAATAATAATAAGAAGAATAAATAGAGAAATACTATTTATGTTGGTCAAAGTTGATTGGAGTTCTGGTCCATATATTTTTTAAACTTTAGAAATTATGATTTTGATCATTTTATTTATAATGACAGGTGAATTTAGTCTTTTATCCTATATTAAGTTCAAAAAGAGGCATAAAATTCCCCAATTATAAGAAATAAAATGATAAATATCATCAATTTTAAAATATAGGAATTAAATTTTGACATGAAGTCCTAAAAACACATTTTTTATAAATATACCAAAATCACTTGTATGATTGAGAGAGTGAATTGATTGGAAAAAAGATGTGAATACCCAAAAGTGGTGCGAGAGTGTCTGAGAAGAGGGAGAGGTAGAGAGATGATCCGAGAAAGAAGCGGACTGAGAAGAGAGTCGAAGGGCGAGTGCAAGCTGCAGCTGATAGCTCTCCTCAGTTTGTTTGGCCCAGCTCTTAAAGGACCTCTCCTCATCGCCACCCGCCATTCTGTTACGCTCAAATACCGATTCGGATTCAGAGCTGTCGTACATTCCCTTCTTTCTCCCAAATTCTGGCTCTCTCCTAACTTTCCAGCATGGCAAGAGTTACACTGCAACAGTTCGTTCTTTGTTCTTTGTTCTTGGACTCTGGGACGGGTTGCGTGAACCAGATTCGCTCTGCTTGCTTTCCCTTCTGTCTTCGTGATTCATTTATTATCCTTCCTTAATGTATTAGAATAAATATGAAAAGTTTAGTTTTGGAAAATTAAATTATAATAATATAATCATGGAAAGTTTAGTTTTAAAAAATACCTTATTGTATAGTAAAAAAACATAATTCATACAGTATTATAAAAATATAATTACATATTAATACTCATTTTTAGAGCCTGATTTTTGTTTACGCTACATTAAGACAAACAAAATTCCAATAAAAAACATCAAATCAACTATCATGTAAGAAAATAATATATTTTATAGTTTAATTTATCAATTTGCTAGCATGTACACTCATTAGACCCCACACAATGAATCAATTCATTTATTTACTTACGTTAAACTTAACTTAAGAAATCCATTCAATTATTTACTTCTATGCTTGTGTATTGAAATGCGTATAACTTTTCTTGGAAAAAGTTTATAAACGAATACTTCACACAAGTTAACATTGAGATCATTTTATATAATATATAATTACTTAATTATAAACAAATATATTTTATACATATTAAGAGTAGATTTTTTTCCTTAACTGTGTAATTGGTGAAGTAATCTTTATAAAGAAATCAAAAAATATTTCTAACTTAGTATTTAAAAAAACTTTAGTATGGATAAGATTTAAGTTTAAACTTTGTTGTTATTTTTTATAATTTTTATTGATAAGAAATAAATATTTATTTTATAACATATTAATATTAAATATGAAATTTTATTTACATTATGTTTTATCTTAATTTCATTTTAAGAAATAAATTTATTAAAAGTTGATTTTCAAAAAAGTATTGATTTCTATTTATAATTTTAAAACAGTTTTTGCATATTGAATTATAAAATACTATTAATTACTCAATTAATATATGACAATAATCATATTTTTATTTATAAAAATAATTTATTTATCATGTTAAGTTCTTTTTTTTCTAATAAAAAATTTTGTTTTGGGTGAATTTTAAATTACATATTTATATATTTTAATTCATTTTTATAATTATGTTCTGGATATTTTAATAATGAAAAAATTATCTTCACATTCAACATGTTTTTAATAATTATAATTAATAAAGACATTATGCATGATAGATTACATTGTGATATTCGTATTTGTCAATTTTTTAAAATATTATTTATTTTAAGAAATTAAAATTATAATATTAAAATTGTGATACATTTATTTAAAATAAATTAAAATTGTGATATTAAATCATGATAAAAACATCATAAATCTAAAAAATATGTTAAATTTTAATCATTACATTAAAATTGTATTAGCAAAATTTTAAATAATTATGAATTGTATTTAATTTAATATTAAGATATGGGTAATTGGTGAGATGGTAGAACTATTTTTTTTAAAAGTAAAATAGTAAATATGAGATAATACCCTCAAGTTTATAAGACAAAGAACGAATGATATGTTTAGAATCTTCATACCAAACATCAATATCTCATACCAAACATCAATATCTATTTAGTTACTAAGTCAAAATTTAATAATATCAAATTTAACTCAAAATCTTATTTATTAAATTAAAAGTGAATAAAAACTCACCATCAATATCTTATTTATTTGTTAAAATTTTATATCTAATACCAAAATAATTGAACTAAATAAACTACAAACAATATAATGGTTCAAGGGACAAAATGTGAACCCAGTCAACCTGTTTCGAGCTAGTGTTTGGAACAACTAATTATCTGTTGGAAGTAATATGATGGGAAAAAAGTTGAAGGTATATATTAAGAATGAGTAGTATTATACAAAAACAACATGAATATTACGTGAGGGACTCATATTTACTATACCTATGATTTATAAATTCAAAAGGTGTGAATTATGGGATGGACACAATAGGCATGCTTGATTTTATTAAGAGAGAGTAAAAAAATTTATGCATAGTTAATTGCGAATTAGACAAATGTATGTATATGTTTTAAGCAAAAAAAAGTTTTATGTGGGATGCCATAAGGTAAAACACATAATATATATTTGTATTTTAGCTAAATATTTGTGTTTATTCAAGAGTATATGTTAAAATATTACCCTGGCCTTTAAAAAAATTATTGTGGCAGCATGATTCAATCTTTCCATCTTTTCATGACTGTGATATTAAACTGTTCGTGATAATAAATTGCATTTCTTATAATAATTTTTTCTGTGATATTTGAATTTAAACACTTATTTATTAAATTTAAAAAAATGTTTTAATTGTGAACTTTAAATTTTAATTATCTATGACTATCAATTATAAAAAAAAATTAATAGACACTTTGAAATCAATAATTCTCACATTATAAAGAAATGTGTACACTTTTCTTTAAACTGAAAATTCCTTGGAACCTTAAGCACGTTTGATCTTTTTTTAGAGAAGAGAAAAATTAAGATTTCACTTCTTTTCACTCTTCCTTTTACTCTTTATTTCTGTGATGTTTAGGGTTTGAGAGAAAATTTTTTGTCAAGGAGAGGACTTTGTTTTAGGTTAGTGGATTTTTATGACCCCTTAAAACTATTATTCTTATCAAATAATAATTATTCCCAAAAAATGATCCTATTTAATCATTTATAATTAGTCTTTAATTATTTATTTATTAGTCCTTCAATATGACACATGTCTCTCATACGAGAAATTAAAATTTTACATTATTCAGCTTGGCTCATGTGACATTTCACATAAGGCCAAATAAATTAATTAATTGGACAATACAAGGCTAGACTTCAAATGAATGAAAATGTTTCTTTAAAATCAATGTCATTCTTTTGAGTAAAACCTTTAGCAACTAATATAACCATGTATCGTTCAAGGTTACCATGAGAGTCACATTTAGTCTGAAAGACCCACTTACAATTGACTCTCTTACAACTTTCTAATAATTCTACAAGGTCCTAAACATCATTATGTTCCACGAATATTAACTCCTCTTTCATGGATATAACCATTTCTTATAATTATCACATCTTACAGCTTGTGAAAATAAAATTGGATCATTATCATTGATGCTTAAGACATTTTCTGAATCATGTTGATATACCATATAGTGGTTTGAAATAGTTGGTCTCCTTTCTTTTTTTAGACCTCCTTAATGTTTCTTCTTGTGGTACTTCTACAATAGGTTCATTTTGAATCATTGGTTCATTTTGTGTAGCTTTTCTTCATTGTTATTTTCCACAATAGTTTTAAAGAACACTCGTTTTATTCATAGAGGCACAAGTCAAATGAACTTGCACTTCAACTTCTTTAACTTTCACTTCCCGTTGAAATGTACTCTCATTGATCTCACCATTTTCAATGAACCTTACATTTCTAGTTCTAACAATTCTTATATCATGATTAGCACAATAAAACATATACCCCTATGATTTTTCTGAATAACCAATGAAATATCTACCAATTGTTCTTGCATCTAATTGTTTTTCTTGTAGATTATAAATCCTTATTTCTTCATAGCAACCTCAAACATGCAAATGCCTTAAAATATGTGTCTTACCAGTCCATAATTCAAAAGGTATCTTTGAAACTTGTAACATCCCAATTTTCAAAAATAAAATAAAAGGTTTTTTTATAAAAAAAATAATATTATGGGATTAATTAAATTATTAATTTTTTATAATATAAATAATGTTTCTATTAATTAAATGAAATATAAAAAAAATGTGTGAAAAGGAATAAGCGTTTGGGTTGGACTCTGAGCCCATCCTGAAGGCTTTTAAAAACAAAAATAAGAGATTATGTTTTCTTTACGCATCCTTTTGAAATTCTACGAGCACCTATAGAGGATAACCTAAAAGAGACCACTATAAAGAGTGTAGTGTAGTGGATAAGGCTACTGTGAAGAAAAAATAGACACAATAATGAGAGTTGAATAGTATCAATCGAAAACTCATACTTTTTCAAGTAGTGAAGTAGTAACTCTAATAGTTAAGAATGTTGAAGAAAAAGCAAACGGAACACATAGTGTTTTTATACTGGCTCTACTCAACTATCGAGACTACGTCTCATTCTCAATTCAACTAAATTGAGTTTCATTATCTTAAAATAAAATACATATATTCTTTCAACAAGCCACTTCTAATGGAAACTTTAGGAGGAGAACACATACTTTATGCTCATGATAAGCATAGGTCTGAGAAGCTACATCAATCTTGCCTCTCCCTAAGGTTGCCATCAACTTCTAGCTCAAACTTATGTGTTCTTTGAATAGTCTCTTCAATTGATCTATCCAAGTATTCTTTTCACACAAGGTTTTTCTAGGCTTCAACATTGAGTATTCTTTCACAGTCAATCCTTTTTAAGTTCAAACAACAAGTATTACAAGTCTCTCTAGGCTCAAACAATAAGTATTATTTTATAAACAAGTCTCTCCAAACTCAAATCCAATACCTTAAAGTTACTGAGATTTACAAAGTTGTTTCGTCTTTTTGACCGTGAAGCTTTTTATATAGTAGCCTAGATAAAGATGATCGTTGCAAAACCTTGAGGGTTGCTCACAAGCTTATTTCATCTGTCTTTATTATAGGTTTCTTGAGATGAGAAGTGTCTATTGATGCATTAATTGTGTCTCACCAAATTGTCACTTCTTATTTGATCAAGGAGGCTACTTCCAACAAATACATTCTTTACCACATGCAAAACCATCAAACTTATCCTTAACATCTATTATAATCTCAATTTCAACATTCAATGAGTATTTAGTAGAGATTAGCATCTTGGATCTTAAGTTTCCTTCCCTAAAAACTCTAACTTTACAACTTAAATGATCATCATCTAATCTTAACATATAGACCATTAATGGGCTAAACAACAAAATTTACAACTAAAAATCACTTAAAGAATCAATCAACAAACTTCTTTTACCTTGATTGCTTCTCAAACGTGAGGAAAAAGAAGAAGAAGGAGAGAACTCCCAAAACCCTCAGAGTCGACTTCTCTATAATAATCCGAGCTCCTCAAGCTTTAATTCCAACTTCTACCACACTTGATCTCAACTTCAAGGGAAAATCTACATGCTCCTAATGATCGAAAGAAGAAATAATCTTGCTTAACTCCAAAGCTTATTTCTCTAAAATTCAAAGAAATAAACTTATGAAGTCTATGTTTTCCTAAAATCTTATATAATGTCCCAATTTTTTGGTCAACTTTGACCTCAACAAATTCTAAACAACTTAGCTTCTAAGGATTCCTTAAGCCTTAAAGCTCAAACAACAACATATAACATCATATATAAACATAACATATCATCATGCAATAAAAGCATAAAACACACAATATTATATAATTTACTTAAAAGGTAATATTTTTACTAAATAATTTTATTTATTTTCAAATAGATTAATATTAGATAAGAAATTGAAAATAAACAATCAACTCAAGCAGTAATGTTAATGTATTGTTTAAATTATAATTATAAAAGTTAAGTAGTTTAGTGATTTAAATGTTGAGTTTTATAATAAAGGTGATGAGTTATAGTCTTCATAATGTTACTTTTTTTTCCTATCATTTTCTTAATAAATTTATATTTTTTGTCATGTCAATACTACATTACAAGTCATCAACAAAGAGTTACCTTAAAGTCTATTTGAGTCGGCATGTTACAACTAAAGTAATAGAACATTAGTACATGCCAATATTAATGTCACATCATATTTTAATTGACAAATGGAGCTTTATAAACTTATTAATGAACAAAAAAACTCCATAATTTAGATATTTGAATTGTAATGGTAAACACAACTTTGTTTACTCTACATCCTTCATCTCAATCTCATCTTTATGAAACTTATAACTTTTTGAATCTCTTCAAGTGTTTCAAAAATGTTTATGTCATCTACCCAAATAACAATCATGATAAACTTAATTTCATATCTTTTCATAAAAATCCATTTCATTTTATATATCATTCTCTTTAACATATATTCATTAAGACAATAAAACCATATCATCCATATTGTTCTAGTTCACAATGTGACTTGCTCAATTTGAATGAATAATCTCCTAAAGAACTTGAACTAATGTGTTGGTTATATTAAATCCTTCATGAAGTTTCACATAAATTCCACTATTAAGTGAATCATAAAAATGATTGTAACATATATTAGAAGTAAATTGACCTTGATAATTCATAAGAAAATTCTTACAAGTATTTTCAAATATTATTCAACATTAAAATTATGACCATGACAAAATTATAAAGTGTGTAATATATGCAATTTTATCACTTAATATTTTTTTATTATAAAATTTAATATATAAGTATATCAAATGATCAAACATAATATAATATATTTATATTATATTTGTTATGTTATCTATCACTTTCTTTTTCAATTTTCAGACAATTTTTTCACTTTTAGTGAGAATTATTTTTTTTTTTCTTATAACTTATTTTTTATTTTGTCTTTGAGACCAATTGTATTTAAAAAAATTTCACAATAATATAAACAATACAAATATTTTATCAAATACATAATATGGATAATATGATTAGAGATAGAATAATAACCTTGACATATGAATTTGAAAAATATGATTTTCTTTAATAAAATTCTTCATAATTTTGTCTTACATGTTGCAACACCAAAGAAGAAAACACTATTATGTTGATAATGAATTATGAAAATCAACATAAAACTATAAAGTATAATGTAGAAGAAATAACAAAAAAATGATAGAATAATAGAGAGCTAATATATAGGAGAGAATAAAGAGTTCCTTACCTTATTTCTAACAATGAGTATTTATAAACACAAATTATAACAAAATAATTGCCAACAAGATAATAAACACTACAATTAAATATTCATAAGAAATGATAAATATAAAGCATTAATAATAGACAATTATAATTAAATATTCATAAGAAATAAGAGTGTTTATGGATTGGTTTGATTTGGATATGAGGTAAATTAAAGTCTGAACTAATAAATGTTGATTAGTTTGGTTTGGATTAGATTTACCACAAAAATTTTGATATTTGAAACAAACCAAATCAATCAACAATGGATTAGTTTGATTTTAGATTACTTGATTTTCTTAAAAAAATAGTTGATATTTATTTTTTTAAAACATAAAAATACACTATCTTATCACAAAATTTAAATAAAAAACTTATTACTAAAATAGTCTAAACAACATTCAAGCATAAATAAAGAAATAATGTAAAAAATATAAAATTAAAATAGTCAAATATTTAAAATTAAAATAAATTAATTTAAAATTAAGGTAATCCTTTTTTTTTTTGTAAAGATAAGATTAAGGTAATCCCTTAAACTTAACTAAATACTATAAATTATAATCATTAGCCAAATAATTGTCATACATTCTAATAAATCATTATGCACTATTAATAAAATCACAATATTCTAAAATAATAATAATTAAAATAATAAAATAAAATAAAAATCATAATTTTAATTGATTCGATTATCATGTTTTTAAAATACATATATAAATTAAAGTTAGATTTAATTGGTTTGAATTAGGTTCGAATTAACTTAATTATTTTATTTGAGTTATTAATTTTATTAAATTATCTAATAAAATCGTAAAATATAATGTAAAAAGAATAAATAAAAATGATTAAAAAAATACATAAAACAATATAAGAAAAATTTTCTTACTTTATTTCCAACAATAAAATAACCTATTAATAAACATAAATTATAGCCGAAAAATCAAGAATAAGATAATAAACAACTACATCTAAATATTCATAAGAAAGGAGAATTATAAACATTAATAAGAGACCGATTAAATATCGACAAGAAAGGCGAAACTAAGCGATTAAATCAATCATAACTGAAAATGATAGGGATTAATTCATGCTTAAGTAAGGTTAGGGTTCGAATCTTGTCTTATATATATAGTTGCATTAAATTTTGGGATTAGCTATCCCACTCTTTATATTACGGAGGAACGAAGAAAAAAAAAAAATTATAACTGGGACTCGAAAAGAAGAGCTACCATACAAGAGTGGTCGTGAACACGAAACGCATTCCCCGCACCCCTTTTCGAAGGGTTTGGTTTTCAATTTTCATCGTTCGTCTCAAGTCTGAACTCAACTCTCGGTCGCACACACATAGTCGCGGTTTCGGGGGCGAATCGACATGGCGAAGTTATCGTCTTCGTCGTCGAACTCTGAGAATTCCCGTGAGCTGGTGTGCGTCGGAACGCTGGAAATCGCCACTCCCAAACCCGTCGGTTTCCTCTGCGGCTCAATCCCCGTTCCCACCGACAACTCCTTCCACTCCGCTCTTCTCCCCACGCCCCAAACGTACTCAGCAACTCTTATTATTGCTTATTCTTGTTTTTGCTTACACTTGAATTTGAGTTTTAGTTTTGATTCCGCGTTGCGTTTTGATAATCGCGTGTTGCGGTTGATTCAGGGTGAGTGCTCCGCGTTACCGCTACCGGATGCTCCCAACTGAGACCGACCTCAATACGCCGCCGCTTCTCGCCAATTTTCCTGAGAAGGTTCTTCCTGTTGGTGCTGTGCACTCCAAGACTACTGGAGGAGGTGATTTTTCTTCACCCTTGGTAGTGTAACTAGTTATTTATTTGCTTGTAGGTTTAATTACCCTTTTGGCTTCAATAGTTTCATAGTTTCATGAACTTTAGTATTTAGTATCTAATTCCTGTTATTAAAAATAGTTCATTTTAGCTCCTATGCATACACTTTTTGTTTTCTTTTAGTTTTTATAGTTTTATGAACCTTATCTTTTAGTCTCTATAAGAATAGACGACAAAGATTAATAGGGAACATAAATGGTATGCATTGGGACTAAAATGAGGCGTTGTTAAGTAGAGTGGCTGAAAGGTAAAGTTTATGAAATTATAGGGAATAAAAGGGTGACTAAAGCTTATTAGTATAAGTGGAAGTTCATATTCAATGAATTGTATAATTTGATATTTCTCTTGTTTTTAATGTTTTATGGAATACCCGGCTTGTAGTTGATTTTTGTTTTTATCATTATAAGCTCTTAGGACTTTTCATTGAGTTTAGCTGCTTCTATTTAGTTGTAACCACGGGAAAATGGATGCTATGCTGCCTATCAATGAACGTGGAGTGTCCTTTATTTATTCTTGAATAAGGTGATAGTTTAGTTATCCCATCTTGTGGAGAAGGTTTGGTTGTTGAGTTAATGCAACTGTTACAACTTTGTGAACGCAGTTATGTCATGGCGAGGAGATCAGTTTCCTGTTTTATTGATTTGTCTAATGGTAGTGGGACTTTGTTATCGGGCTTACAGTTAAAGGGTCTACGATAGGGAAAATAAGGGTGATGGTTGAGGATTGGGACTCAAGCCTGTTATAGTAATAACTGTATATTGGATAGTTAATAGTTGTCACCGGTAATTTAATTTATAAACAAAATATGATATAGGGTGTTAGTTAGGACTTAGGAGCAGTCATTGATTGACAGAAGAAGGTGAAGTGAAGGCTCAAAACTCTTAAATCTCCTGGAGTAGGAGAGCTATCACACTTGCGTCGAACATTGTTCTTCAGTATTTGATTAATACAAGTCCAAAGATGGAGGAGTTCCATCAATAAACCAAATGGAACCAAGATTGGTAATGGTAAATTTGGAGAAGGGTTACAACATATGGACGAGACTTATTTGAGATGTTTAACAGGGACTGGGCCCAAGTTGTGAACTAAATGGTTGAGTGGGAAAAATTCTGGTGCAATACCAATTACAGTAGTGCTACGAGACTGACTCCATTTCAGTCTCCATAGAGCAAAGACCCTCTGGTTTTACCGATAGGTACTACATTTCCCTCCACAGTTAATGAAGTCCACAAATTGACTACAGAAAAAGATGAAATGCTAGCAGAGTTGGTAGCTAGTTTGCTTAAGGCTTACAATATGATGAAAGTCCAAGCTAAATAGCTAATAAGCATAGGATGGAGGTCCAATTTCTAGAGGGGGACTGGGTTTTTCTAAAGTTTCAACCTCACAGACTCAAGCTACTATCCAAACAACCAATGAGAAGTTAAGCCCAAGATTATGACTCATTTCAGATTTTCTGATTTTCAAAAGTATTGGCCAAGTTGCTTACTACTAGTTGTGCTTATTGGGGAGCCAAATCCATCGGTGTTTCATGTTTCCTTGTTGAAGAAGGCCATTTCTTTGCGAACATATTCCCAGCCATTACCCCCAAATAGGTTCGGCCCACACAGATTGTGAATGTCTTCTTGTGATGCCAAGGTGCTGATAAGTGGCAGAATCTCCATGATTATGAGAATTTATGGGGATTAACACCAACTATTTAAGACAATTTTCCCGATTTTGACTTTGAGGACAAGGTGAAGCCTTTTTATTTGGGCCAAGAAGGGGTTATTGTTAGCAGGCCTCCAATTAAAAGTGTCTATATTATGAATAAAAAGATGATGTTACATGGGGCATTGGTCTGTTACTAACAATTTTCCTATTTCTTTGCTAACTGTCTATCAGGCATAGTTGACATGTATAATCAGAAATAATTGAACATTGTTAAATCCTCAATTAAATAGGTACACCCCAGAAGGGGGAATAAGGAACACAAAGAGTTAGACAAATGGTAGGAATGTAGAATCCAAGAAGGGAGGGGGGTGAATCTTTTTAAAATTTTAGTCCCCACACAGGTCTCAAATAGGATTTTTGAAAATTTCTTCAAAACCATTTGCTATTAATTGATTTATAATTATGGGATGCATAAGAAATTATCAATGCAGTCCAATTACAACTTAAATGATCATGCTATCGTGAATGTAATGATTTTTGTTCAACTTCGATGCAATGTTAAGAATGTAAAGTTGAGAGAGAGATATATAAAGAGAAGAAAACAAAGCAATTTGTCCTGGTTTAATGACACCTCGGTGATCTACATCTAATCCTCAAGCATAACAATTGAGGTTTTTTACTATCAACAATTCTTTTTTCTACAAACACTCAATTGCACACACAATTGATAAATGCAAAACCCAAAGTTTCTTGAAACCCTCAAGAACATTTTTTTCACTGGTGGAAACCTACTACAACACAACCATAAGAACAACATTTAGATGAAGCAAAGTAGAGATATCACCTTATCCTTGTGAAATTTACACCATTGAAAACCCTTAGCTGGTGACTTCTATTGAATCTTGGTCAAGCTTCATAAAAACCCTTTGCTTTATTATAATGAAAAGCATTGATAATCCATGACGTAGTACTTGGTTGAAGCTTTTCACAGTTCTCTCACGTTACAATGCCTTAGAAAAAGTTTTTGAAGTCACTCTTTGAAAAGGAGCAAAAATTTGTTATTTTATAGATGCAACTGAAATAATTGATTATTTGCTTCACATAATTGATTATTTTGTTCATTAAAGCTCTAGAGTTTGAATTAAGAACAATATAATTGATTACTTTACTTCTTCAACGATTTTTACAGATGACATGTATTTTCAAAATGTCAAAAATCTGTTATTTCCTCATTTAACCAATTATTACAATGATATATTTTTTTTCTTAAAAACAACCAAGAGCAAAATAACCGATTATTTTAAGTATGTAATCAATTTTTGTTCCTAATGCTATTTATCAGGAAATTTGGAGAGGACTGCAAACCTTCATAGAGCTGCATTATCTTTTTTTTCCTTTGTATTTTCTTCTTTTCCAGCACATTGAGAGAGTTAAATCTATAGTTCTTTCTTCCTGGGTTGATACTGTTCTCGTTATTAGTCAAAGAAACAGAGTGCTGTAATGAAATACAGATGTTCGAGTGCTATCATAAAATACAGATGTATGCTTACACATTTAGACTGGTTTCCATTTCTTTATCATGGATTCATACATTTGATCTTACTTGTGCTTTTTGTTGTTTTGAAAACTCAATTTGTTGGTGACAGATTTTCCTTGGGAAGGCACTGCTGTTGCATCAAATTTCAATAGAAAATGTGAGGCCCTTGCAGTGTCTGGCTTGGTTGATTATGGAGATGAGATTGATGTCATTGCCCCAGCAGACATTTTGAAGCAGATATTTAAAATGCCATATTCGAAGGCTCGATTATCAATTGCTGTTCATCGCATTGGTCATACTCTTGTTTTAAACACAGGGTGTGTATTTGACCTGCTCTTGATTCCATTTTGTTGCCATGAATAACATCCACTTAATTATATAGTTGTCTTATAATTGCTGTTGCTAATTGTCTTTCGAACCATGATAAAATTTTCACTTAAGAAAATTGAGCTCCCCTATACTATCTATTGCATTTTGAAGCCATAAGAATTTGAATTCTTTATTTTTATCAGAAGAAAAGGTTAATAGTTGAAGATAATGATATATTATGCCTCAGCAAAGAAGGAAATGCACGGTTATCGTCCAAGAATTTATATAGTTGCATATTTTGGTTTTAATGCATCCACCATTTATAGATCGTGCATTCTAGTTCTTGTTGTATCATGTGTGATACATCAAAGATGATTTTTTTCTTAAAGGTCATTATTCAACTTTATTTAAAAATTAAAATATAATTCTTAGTTAAGGTGGTTGCACTGGTTATTAGCTTTTGCTAGATTAAATCCTCTGTAATTTCTGAATCCTGCTATTGGACTTCTCTTTACTTTGTTGAGAGGGAGAAAAACCAGAGGTCATGTGATGAATCTGTGTGTTGACTGCACAAAGGCTTTTATTTATAATTAGAGTTATAAATAACAATGGATAACACTTACGATTATACAGTTCATAATATCCCTAATTTCAATATTACCCTATTTACGCTATTACATAATTACAAGATTCCAAACAAACAATATTCAAGCATTTGATTTATAAGTGACATTATTTATAAAATGCAGGCCAGATGTTGAAGAGGGAGAAAAATTGATTAGGAGGCATAACAATCAATCAAAATGTGCGGATCAATCTTTATTCTTGAACTTTGCTATGCACTCAGTCAGAATGGAGGCATGTGATTGTCCACCAACACATCATGTTTCATCAGAAGAGCAATCAAAATCTTCTGTACTTCCTGGAGGAAAACCACCCCATATTGTGGTACAGAATGATGATGTTGTTCAAGCTGAAGGATACAATTGCCATTCTGAGTACTCACAGGTTGAGAAAGAAAGCTTTTATTGGGGAAGCAAGAAGAATAGGAGAAATAAGAATCATAGTCCAGTCAAAAAGGTGTCACAAGTTGGTGAAAAACCCAGATCATCGATGCAAGAGTCTGAAAAGCAAAGAAAAGTTGGAAATGATAACTTCCTTAGGATTTTGTTCTGGCAGTTCCATAACTTCCGCATGCTCTTGGGAAGTGATCTACTTTTATTCAGTAATGAAAAATATGTTGCTGTGAGCTTGCATTTATGGGATGTCACACGACAGGTGAGGAACTTTCTTCTAAATATATCTTGTATTTCATATTTAGCAGATTGTTAATGTTTGTTTTCTCAATTTTGATAGGTCACACCTTTGACTTGGCTTGAAGCATGGCTTGACAATGTCATGGCAAGTGTGCCTGAGTTGGCTATATGTTATCATCGCAATGGTGTTGTTCAGGGGTATGAACTTTTGAAAACCGATGATATTTTTCTTTTGAAAGGGATATCAGAGGATGGGACACCTGCATTTCATCCTCATGTTGTGCAGCAAAATGGTTTGTCTGTTTTGAGATTCCTTCAGGATAATTGCAAACAGGATCCTGGAGCTTATTGGGTACTGTTATTTATTTATTTATTTTCAATACATTTATATATTTGCTTCTTTTAGTTTTATTATGTTAATTTATTTTTAACAAATTTATTTTGCTTAGTAGTACTAAGAGCCCTGACTTAGAGTTTTGCAGCTTTATAAAGGTGCTGGTGAAGATGATATACAACTTTTTGATCTTTCCGTTATTCCCAAAAACCGTTCGTCAGATGATAGTGATGATGCTTCAAGGTCCTTGCCATCGTCAATCAGTAGGGGTAGAAGTGATGCAGTATATTCGTTGGGAACTCTCCTCTATCGAATTGCTCACAGGCTTTCTCTCTCAATGGTGTGAAAGAATGAAATGTATTTCTGGGCTAATGCTGCTTTCAGTGGTTTTTACTAACTACTGTCTCTTTTCATGTAGGCTGCTACAAATAGGGCTAGGTGTGTGAGGTTCTTTAGAAAGTGTTTGGAATTTCTGGATGACTCGGACCATCTGGTATGTTTTAGGAGTAACAATTGATTTATTCCCCAGTCCCATGTGGCTGGAGTTTCCATTTATCTTCTGTTGAGATAGATGACTGCATTTTTGATAAATGTTTTACTGAACAGGCAGTACGAGCAATTGCTCATGAACAATTTGCTAGGCTGATTTTAAATTATGATGATGAGTTGAATTTAACATCAGAATCTCTGGCCCTAGAATGTGAACTAACTGTTACTGAAGCCAAAGAGTCTTGGGATGCTGAAAACAGCAATTCTGAACAAGGTGCCCATGAGGTATTTTATCTGCCTGCTGATGAGAAATCAGGTGAACATGGAAATATGATTGAGAACTTAGAATCAGAATGTCCTGCTAAGATTGTTTCTGAAGAACACAAACCCACATCTGGGGAACTGATAGCAGTCAGTACCACAGGATTGAGCAACCAAAGAGGGGATGAACCAAGCTTGTATCCTGACGTTAGCTCTTTGGTTTGTGAAGTATGTCCAGTTTCCACACCTGTGGTTCAGACAGTTGCTGATCCAATCTCGTCTAAGTTGGCTGCTGTGCATCATGTTTCACAGGCCATTAAGTCTCTGAGATGGATGCGACAGCTTCAGAGCACTGAACCAGAGGTGATGAATCAATTTAATGAAAATCACGATAGACCATCATCATCTTTTAATGTTTCTGTCTGTGCCTGTGGAGATGCTGACTGTATTGAAGTTTGTGACATTCGAGAATGGCTTCCAACATCCAAGTTAGATCATAAGTTGTGGAAGCTTGTTCTTTTGCTTGGAGAATCGTATTTGGCACTTGCAGAAGCTTATAAGGAGGATGGCCAACTAAATCAAGCTTTAAAGGTCATACAACTATCATGTTCTGTTTATGGATCAATGCCTCCACATCTTGAGGAGACAAAATTTATTTCTTCAATGGCTAGTGGTTCATCCTTACAGAGAAAACTCATTGATCTGAATGAAAACACATGGCGGGATGATGTAAAAGATGAGACTGTTAATGGATATACTGAAAGAAAGTCTTCTACTTACCTCTTCTGGGCCAAGGCGTGGGCACTAGTAGGTGATGTTTATATTGAATTGCATAGGATAAAGGGTAAAGCAATCTCAGTACAAGATCTGAAAAAACCTGCAACTGCAACCAGAGAATTAAGAATGTCATCTGAGGTTGTGAAGGAAGTTAAAAGGCTGAAGAAGAAGTTGGTTCAAATGGACCAGAACTGCAGTTCATGTTCCTTGGTAAATTGCAGTTGCCAGAGTGACAGAGCTAGCAGTGGGAACAGTGCAAGCAGTAGTAGTGCAGGTGCAAGCTCCATGGCTCATGGTAGAAAGCATAGTAAACGATTGTCTGCTAAAAATGCAAATTACTTGCCTCCAAAAGACCTAGGAGACGAGTTCATTCATGACAAGGAGAATAGAAAAGATTTTGACAGCAAATACATCGAGCACAGTAATAATGGCGGAGACCTGAATTTGACAGATAATCTTGAGAATGGGGTTGAACTTAAATCTTTGGATGCTATAAACACTAGAACCCTTGAGGGATCCTCAGAGATGGGCGCCTCATGTTCTAGTGTTGTCTCTCAAACTGAAAATAATTCAAAGGAAACAGGTAAAGTAAAAAATGGTGGGATATTTGAGTACCTAGTTGAACCTCTAGCGGGAGATGTAGAGTCCAATCTTGTAGCTGCTTTAAAGTGCTATGAAGAAGCTAGACTAGCATTACTTAAACTTCCAACTAGTATGTCTGAGTTACAATCCGTGGTTAAAAAGAAAGGGTGGGTTTGCAATGAATTGGGCCGAATCAGACTTGAAAACAAAGAGTTAAGTAAGGCTGAACTGGCATTTACTGATGCTATAGATGCATTCAGAGAAGTTTCAGATCACACCAACATAATATTAATAAACTGTAATTTGGGCCATGGCAGACGGGCTTTGGCTGAGGAGATGGTATCTAAACTTGAGAATCTAAAACTACATGATATTTTCCATAATGCATACAATCATGCATTGGAAACTGCAAAACTGAAATATATAGAATCCCTTAGATATTATGGGGCAGCAAGGTTAGAACTGAATGCCATCCATGAGGATGATGATTCTGTGACAAGCAGCTTGAGGAATGAGGCACATACGCAGTTTGCTCACACATATCTGCGGCTTGGAATGCTTTTGGCAAGAGAAAATTGTACGGCAGTTTATGAAAATGGATCGCTGGGAGATACAAGTGTAAGTCAAACCAAACTCCATGACAGAAAAGCCAGGAAAGATATGAGAAAGCATGAGATTTCAGCTAATGAGGCCATTAGGGAAGCCTTATCTGTGTATGAGTCCCTTGGTGAACTGCGCAAACAGGAGGCTGCATATGCTTACTTCCAATTGGCTTGCTATCAGAGAGACTGTTGTTTGAAATTTATGAATTCTGGCAATAAGAAAAGCATTTTGCCAAAAGGAGAAAATAGTGCTGTGCAACGAGTAAAGCAGTATGCATCTCTGGCAGAGAGAAACTGGCAAAAAGCCCTGGAATTCTATGGCCCCCAAACTCATCCAAATATGTATTTGACTATTCTTATGGAGAGATCAACTCTTTCATTAAGCCTTTCAAGCCATTTACACTCCAATGTGGTATTTTCCTGCACTTCTTTTACACATCAATTTTATTCTGTCATGACAATATTTTACTGAAATTTTCGGTTAAGTTATATAATTCATCATCACCCTTTTCTGTGGTGCTATGTACTTTCTTGTACATATATTAATAAATTTTCCTTGAAAATTAACATATTTGGGCAGAGTCCGTTTATCTGTTTGTCAATGTAATTATAAAATTAGCTTAGACCCTTTATCAGCTACCAAAAAGATTATAAAATCCATAAAACCTGTTTCTGTATTTAAGTTTACTTCCCAGTTGAAACTTGGTTAAAATGTCTCAAAGGTATTCTATTAAGGTGATAGCTTAGATGTGTTTTATTGTGATATGTGAACTGCATAATTTGCCCAAGTACTGTATTTGACAAACATGACCATGTTCGGTATAAGGAGGTCAGAGAATACATAAAATGATGAAAACTCTTGAAGAATTTTCTGACTTGAATTTTTCAGAACTAATTAATTGCCATAAAATATCTTCTATGATATTCCATGAAAATTTGTAAAGACTTTACTCGAAATAGTTTTATTGAAATTTTGTTTTAGATAGACCCATCAATTGAACCAGTGCATATTTCTGTCATTTGTTGATACTTCCAGAATTTTGTTGCAGGTGCTGGAATCAGCTTTGGCTCATATGCTTGAAGGACGCCATGTTTCAGATACAAATGACGACACTTTCAGTATTAGTTATCCTGAACTACATGCAAAATATTGGAGTCAATTGCAGATGCTTTTGAAGAAAATGTTGACCACAACCCTTTCATCAAGTGCAAACAAATCTCCCAGTCAACCATCTTCAACATCTAGCAGATTTGGAGATGGTGGAAAGATCAGGGAGCTCTACAAGATGTCCCTGAAGGGTACTGATATGGCCCAATTGCATAAAATGTACACCTTGTGGACATCATGACTGACAGGAACTCCATGCTGACATTCCCCTCTTGCTTAGATCAGATCAAAGTAAATTCTTTCCCGCTTCTTTCTGATTTTTGTCTTAATATTTGTTGTTGTTGGGCTAACTGTTTTCAAGCTGAAACTAGAAAGTACTTATAATGTGGTTGTCCTCCTGTAGTAAATTTATGTCACGAGGCTCTCTAATCTGTTTTTTTCCTCTCTCAAATCTTTCATCTTATAAATAAGCAAATAAGTTAAAGTTATCTTGTTATAAAAGATGAAAAGGATTTGAGAATTTATTGTTATTAATATATAATAATGCAAATTATTTTATTTTATTTTATTTTTAAAGCAAGAACTGAAGATTGCAATTTTTTTCATAACATTGTAAAAAACAAACTTGTTTTCAGATTCAACGTCGGTATGAGTGTTAAAGATGAAGAGAAAACGAGACGTGAAATCTGCATCGCCTACGTTCTCTTCTTGGTTCATTTTTTTTAAGAAAAAAACTGATTGTAAAATAAACTTTAGCTTATTTTCTTAAAATATCAGTTGTTTTTATGAAGCTGAGAATTTGAAACTTATTATTTTTTAACAGTTTTTTTCAAGTGCATTTACTGCATAAAAAATAATTATTTGATGTATTCAAAAGAAATTAAATATCTAAATATCATTTTTCATCATGTTTATTCAAATAAAATTTCATTATGATTATAGTTGATTGTAACAGTAATCAATTATATATTTAATTAATTATTGAAATAGTTTAATTTTTACAATTTTTTAAATGAGGGAGATTATAATCTCTCATTTTAACAGGTTTTTTTTTTGAAAAAAAAAAACTGTGCTTGAGGCAAAACTTTAAATTTCTATATATATATTTTCTGGAAAAATGAGTTATCTTTATGAAGCTAAAATTAGAAGTTCGTATTTATTTCAACGGCTTTTTTCCTGTTTCTAACACACTCTCGAGTTCAATCTTATTAGGTATAATAAAAAGGTTTAATTTTAGTAAAAGGTAAATAGATTTGAATATTATTCATCCTTCAAATTTAAAGGGAAACTTTGTTCTTTTCCCCATAGTCAATCTCAAAGTTTAGGTAAAAGAATAAAAAAAGGTTTTGGACAAAAGGATAAGAAATGGTGGTGGAATGAAAGTGTGTGAGAAACAAAACAGAGTGTAAAATTGAGCGAGACATGATCCAAAGCTTTTTAGGAGTTTTACAAATATTGTGGAACAAAGAATACAAAAGGATAATAGTATAGATATGTCAGACGATGCGTCATAACCTTATGTTTCGGTTTAAATAAAGTTTGACTTGATCGAATTCGTTTATTAAAAAATGTTATACTTAGATTTTTTTAAAAGTTTATTTAGGTAAAAAGGCCTGGTCTTAAATTTTTGTAAAAGTCTATTATTGTATGTTTGGATAGGATAATTTATAAGTCAATTTATTTATTATATATATATAGTTTTATTATATATATATATATATAATTTTATTAAATATAAACATATTATTTCTAATATATTCAATCGTCAAATTTGTACACTTATAATGAATTAATATATAATTTTTAGAGTGATAATTATGTCACTTGCAATAATACAACAACATGAAATATCACTGGATTATCATTTTTTGCACAAATAATTTTTCTAAGGGGGTGCCTGAATCGACCTTGGATTTCATTCTGAAGCTCCTTTCTCCAATAGATCTTTGTAAAATGTCAAAGGTGTGTGTCTCTTTAAAGGGTAGGTGTCAAAGTGATGACTTTTGGAAAAACCATATAACCTTGGATTTCATTCTGAAGCTCCTTTCTCCAATAGATCTTTGTAAAATGTCAAAGGTGTGTGTCTCTTTAAAGGGTAGGTGTCAAAGTGATGACTTTTGGAAAAACCATATAAAAGAGAAATGGGGTAGAGTGATTGGTGAAGCTGTTTATAAGGAGTGGGAATGGCATATAACAATTGCCAAACAAGGAAATTTGTTGAATCAACGAACCAATAATCAAATTCGGTCACTGGGTTCTTTTAATGGTGTTTGGCCAAATCTACATCTTCGTTCATATTTGGAAGATCACAAGGTCCTCAATGGTCAACGGTCAAACAACTTCTTCATGTCTTTGTATTTCTCTCTAGACAGTGGCATCTTCTGGTTTCCTGCTCAGGTCTACAAGGTAAAACTTGCAACTGGCTTTTTAATTTGTTAGTGAGTCATTTTATTAATATCATGTATCTTTTTATTGTAATCAATAAATTTTTTCTTTGCAGGGGCTAATGGTTCACAATGCGTTGGTTAGCTATGACTCTCAATCTGATACTTTTCAAGCAAGGTATATGTGCAAAAAGTTTATTTATTATATGTATTATGGGTGTAAATTTTGGTTTGCTATGCACACTCACACACATATTTATTTGTTACATATTGTAAGTGGTTATTTACGAATATCATAAAAATATGTATTTATATATTTAGCTATTTCTAATTTTTCTTTATTTTTTACATATTTATTTTTTTATTTACGTTTTTAAATTTTTAAAATAGGTGGCGCTGTGGCCTATAGCGACACAGTGTCGCTATAGGCCATAGCGCCACTGTATTTTTGTTTTTTTTTTAATTATTAAATAAATTATTTTTTATCACATTATAACGGTGTCGCTATAGGCTATAGCGACTTTAGTGAAACTATTTTGTGGCGCTATAGGCTGTAGCGACACTATCAATATGGCTTTCATGGCTTTCGTGGAGTTTAAAAAATGCCACGTGTCACTAGTGTCGCTATGGCCCATAGCGACACCGTTATAAACAGCCCCAAAGGCGTAAATACTTTCAAAAGAACCCCATTTACGTAAAAAACTTTCAAAATGACCCCACTATGGTCAAAATCTTTGTTGTGTCTCACTAGCTAAACAGTGAGGCATGGCCGGCTTAGTATATGAAAAACAAATAAATAGTGATGACCATATCTTTGGTTATATACACAGTTCAACTCTTCATATCATATCAAAGTTGGTTCCTCTCTGCATACCTCAATTATCTTCTCTTTGTCCAAAAGAAAATCTTAGCCTAATAACAACCTTAGCCATATATGGAGAACAATATTAAAAAAAAGAGACCTATGTGTCTCTTGGATTTGCCTGAATCAACCTTGGATTTCATTCTGAAGCTCCTTTCTCCAATAGATCTTTGTAAAATGTCAAAGGTGTGTGTCTCTTTAAAGGGTAGGTGTCAAAGTGATGACTTTTGGAAAAACCATATAAAAGAGAAATGGGGTAGAGTGATTGGTGAAGCTGTTTATAAGGAGTGGGAATGGCATATAACAATTGCCAAACAAGGAAATTTGTTGAATCAACGAACCAATAATCAAATTGGGTCACTGGGTTCTTTTAATGGTGTTTGGCCAAATCTACATCTTCGTTCATATTTGGAAGATCACAAGGTCCTCAATGGTCAACGGTCAAACAACTTCTTCGCAGTCACATCACAAAACCAAAATTACAAATATTTTAAAATTAGTAAATCAAAATTGTCTATTTAAAAATTAGTTCTACACTTTACAATCTTTATAGTATAGTCATTACACTACTACAACTTCTTTTACATTTTAATTCTAAAACACCCAAAAATTTCTCATTTTAATTAATATGTGAGTTTTTTCTTCTTCTTTAATTTATTTGTTTATTTTTATATATGTTTTATTCTTATCAACACCTCTCATTTTTTTCTTCTTCTTTTTCCCTCTACTTCCTTTTTTTTTTCTTCATCATCAATACTTTCTTTCTTATTTATTGGAGGACTCTAATAATTATACACATACAAAATATTAAAATATTATGTGTAATTATTTAAAGAGGGTATAAGAATTTTTTTTTTATATCTGATAGATATAATGATGTACAAAATAGTGGAGATATGTAACCCGTTTATAATAAGTAGAGATTTTGATGAAACTTGTTGCATTGTTTAAACTTGCCAGCATAAAATACTTAACTATACAATTTATTAAACCCTTCTTATATTAAACACTCCCTTCGTTTTCTGGTCAGGGGTGTATTAACAACATAACTAAGCCCATTGGGCTTCGCCAAAAAAGCCCGAACCCATCCCAGTTCCTTTCTTCCCCTGGCCTTGGGCACAAAACAAAACCCTAACTACCGCTGCGAGCTAGCCTCAACAATTTCAGGTTTCAATCGCGATCTTGCAGAGCACTGCATTCTGCCATGGCTGTGAGTATCTTCTTCTTTCCCTCCCCTCCATTTTCTCTGACGCACTTAATCCACATCTTCTGAACTCAACGATTTCAATGCTCGTTTTGCTTCTCGCTCTAAGCGAAGCTGATTGAATGTGCCTTATTTTCTAATTTTCGTTCATCTTTTGCAGACCATACCAGTTAATCCCAAGCCTTTCTTGAACAATTTGACTGGGAAGCCTGTAATTGTGAAACTTAAGTGGGGAATGGAGTACAAGGGTATGATGTTTGTTATGGATTGGTTTTTCTGCTGTTATTTCACTGTTACTCGTTTCATTTCAGTGTTTTTCATTAGGTGGTCAAATGCTTCATGGATTTTTTTTATCATGTGTGGTTTTTTTTTGTTTTTTTTCTTCTTCAGGTTATCTTGTTTCTGTTGACTCCTATATGAACTTGCAGGTATATATCTAAATTGTTTTTTATGTTCGTAAAATAATTATTGGCTTAGTTGAACTGTTTTTAACATCTGTGATTTATCTCTGTAGCTGGCCAACACTGAAGAGTACATTGAGGGACAGTTTACTGGAAATTTGGGAGAGATTTTAATCAGGTAACTTGGATATCAACTATCCTGTTTGTTAGTGGTTTTTTTGTTTTGCTAACACGAGTTTTTTAATCCAATTGAAGCCATTTTAAACCAGTATATCGAGAAAAAAAAACTGAAAACCAATCAAATCTGTATCAAGAAGCCCTAAAGCTTTTTTTTTTTTTTTTGGTTGGAACGAATCAATTTCTTATTTCATTTTAGAATCGAATCTTACAATATCCCATATGTTACCATTGTTGTGGTTATATTTTTCTACTCCACCCCAATTAAAATCAAGTGACCATCCCAAATAGTAAACGGAAATGACCATAGGAATGAATGTCATTGGATTACTGCTAAACATGCTTGAATCCTTTATGCTATTTAGGTGTAAAAAAGTTAAAATCACACCCATTACTTTAGATAAGCAAGCTCTGGTTTCTATATTCAATTATTTTTATCTAGAGAGATGCGTCAAGTGTAAGTCTTTTAAACACACCCTATAAGTCTTTCTTATCAGTTAGAATTGATTGGAAATCACAAATTTGTATGATTCCTATTTCTTATTTAATGAGTGAGATCTCGCTAATGATTTTGTAGTTTCTGATAAATTTTAACTACTACTAGAGGTTATGTTAAAGAATGTTGCTAGCACTTCTCTTTTCATATATTTAAGTGGATTAGAAAACAAACTGGTTACCTAAGTAACTAATTCTTTAAGAAAATATGCAAAACAATTAGATAAAGGGAGAAAATATACAAGTGGAATTGTGCTATTTGAAAAGTGTCAACGTACTAATGTAATATTTTTAATAGGATTAGCAAAAAAAAAAAAAACTGAATCATCTAATCCAATAAGAAACTATATTCAACATATAATAACATGGATAAAATTGGTAATATTTACATGTATAGGAACTAATGTAATAAATTTTTATGTAAAAAAATCAAATCGAGACTTCATGACACATATAGGGACTAAAATTATATGTTTAACCTATTATTGACAATGCAGATTCATCTCCTGTCTCGTCCCCGTATCTGTGTTATGTATATAATTTTTTTATATATTAAAAAGCATCGACATTCTGATGTTTTATTACTTCTGAACATGATCAAAATATCCAACAGAGTTTCACAAGAAAACATGCATTTCCTCCTTTTAGCCTTTGTATAATTTTTCTTCTTAATAAGATTATTCCATTTGGTCACTCTGACCTCAGTTGAGTGTTATCTTTTAAACACGATCGTCAAGTCTTATTGAATTGTTTGTATTTCTAGATGTAACAATGTTCTGTACCTTCGAGGAGTACCGGAGGATGAAGAAATCGAAGATGCTGCAGAAGACTAGGGAGTGATAAATGCTGCTAATTGTTGAGACATTAACTGAACTCAATTTATTTTTTCACTCTTTGTATTTTAGTTTAGATTGTAGTTATGTGTAGAGATTCGAATCAATGATGCACTCGCTTGTGAATAGGGTGCCTATGTAAATCTCTTGATGCATTATGGTTTTCAAATATTTCAAATACTTCAAATACGGGTGAGACTGAGATTAGCTTTTCTAGAAAATGCTTGCGGCTCGATTTGATAATTATGGTTTTTCATTTAATTTGTGGTGGCAATTTTATCTTACAGCTGGAAATTTATACTTATGCTTATAGTTAAGGCCCCAAAGAAATGGCTACCGTAAATGTTAATCCAATTTTGGATTTTTTTTAATAAGGAGTTATAACTTATTATCAGATTGGCTTTTATAAAAATAAAAATGATATTTTCAGGCACAAATTCTTGTCTATGGGGGAAATGGGCCTTAAATCTTGGTTAAGTAATACATATGTTAAACCAAGGTTTGGGTTCTATGTTTGTTCTTCTAATTACTCAAATATTATTATTAAAAAAGAAAAATAAATAAAAAATAAATTATATAACTTGATTTTCTATAAAAAAAAATAGTAATTCACTATTGAATTAATTATTCTTGTTCCTTCTGTATAATTAAAATTTTTGTGATCATTTCATTATATATTTGATCAAATAGTCTCTGCAATAATAGAATAGTTTTTTCGCTATGTGTGCGTGTGTGGTGTTGTTTTTGCAAATGTGGTAGGTTTCCATTGCGCGGACTTGCAATTGTATTTACTTGATGCCCCAGCTGAGACAGCGCAACGTTGAATTTAGAGAGTCTGCTATTGAACAGAGACAACGGTAGTTGCTAAATATGAACATTCGAGTTTCAATTAATGTTGGTCTCTGAAACAAGTGCATTTACTACAGCATAGAAAATTGAATGAAACAGTAATTTTGGAAAACTCAGGGAAGTACGTTGTATTATTAATGAGGATGCTTGTCAGACAATATAAGAAATTAGTACCAAGAGGTACTCTGAAGGGGGATGAGGGACAGAGAGAATAAGATGAGAGAGAGAATTCAATGCAACAATCATCACTACTCTTATTCATCCTGAGAGATTCTTTAAAAGGAAAATCACTGGCCCATCACGTATCCCCTTAGGCGCACATTCTCACGTTTCATTCGGTCACTTTTCCTGGGGTGCATGATCCAAGGAAATTGCTCCACGTGTCCTTCTTGCATAACCGAATTTGTCTTCATCTGATTGCCAATCATTTGCTCATTCATTCCATTTTCTGTTGAGCCATGTGGACCTTGACTCTCATTTCCTTCTCTTGGCCAATGTGGGCTTGTTACATTACCTCCCCCATTGAAAACAACCTTGTCCTTAAGGTTGAAAAGAGGATAAGATTGTTCAATGGTGTTTCTGTCTTCCCATGAGGCCTCCTCTGGTTGCTGACCTTCCCAATGGACTAGAACCTGTGGAATCTGTTTGTGCTTCTTGAGAATTGTTCTGTGTTGCAATATGGCCTTTGGTTGTAAAGCAAGTCCCTTTTCATCAATTAACAAAGGAGTTGGTATTTGAGTAATAACCTCATTGCCGCGAAATGCTTTCAATTGAGACACATGGAAAACAGGATGTATCTTGGCTGTTGCAGGAAGAGCAAGTTTATAAGCTACATTGCCAATTCTCTGAGTAATGGTGAATGGACCAAAATACTTCATGCTCAACTTCTGATTCTGTCTCAAGGCCACTGAGTGCTGCCTATATGGCTGCAACCTAACCCACACTTTATCCCCTTCAGCAAATACAATGTCTTGTCTATGCCTGTCTGCTTGTAGTTTCATGTGCTGCTGTGCTTGAATCAAATTGTCTTTGAGCTTGGCCAGCAGTATGTCTCTGGAGTGTAACACATCCTGCACTGCTTGTATATCATACTGAGAAGGTGCATATCTAATAATAGCAGGTGGTAGTCGGCCATAAACAGCTTGAAAAGGAGTCATCCCCAAACTGTGATGAAATGAAGTATTATACCAGTACTCAGCCCAGGGCAACAACTTCACCCAATCTTTAGGATTTTGGCTTGAAAAACACCTAAGATACATCTCCAAGCATTTGTTAAGAGCTTCAGTCTGACCATCTGACTGGGGGTGATATGCTGAGGACATGGCCAATGTTGTTCCTTGCAATGTGAAAAGCTGTTGCCAAAATCTGCTCATAAAGACCCTGTCTCTATCAGAAACTATGGTTTTTGGAATGCCATGAAGTCTGACTATAGAGCTAATGAAAGCTTCAGCAACTTGTAAACTTGTAAAATCAGGCTTTAGTGGCTGGAAATGACCATACTTTGATAGCCTGTCCACCACCACTAGTATCACAGAATACCCTTTAACTATTGGCAACCCTGTAATAAAATCCATAGCAATATCCTCCCAAATTTGAGAAGGAATTGGTAATGGTTGAAGGAGTCCTGCAGGCTTAGTGTTCAGATGCTTTGCTTGTTGACAGATAACACATTGTTGTACATAAGACTGAATGTCAAACTTCATTTTAGGCCAGTAAAATTCATTTTTGATGCGGGCTGTTGTTCGAGCCACACCTGAGTGTCCACCCACAGTAGAGTCATGGTATTCATTCAGAATTTGTTTGATAAGGTCAGAACCTTGAGGGATGATTAACCTTCCCTTCCAAAATAGCAAACCGTCCCTGCTTGTTATATGAGGACTGCTGGGCTTGTTTAATGAGCAATTTGTTAATTCCATCTGCCAATGAGAATCTGAGGAAATT